TCTCCCTCTCCTCCCCCTCCCCCTCTTCCTCCTCCTCCTTTTCTTCCTTTTCTTCACCCTGGTTTTCCCTGACCCTCTGTCTAGTCTTTCACCTTCCTGGCCTTGACGGCTGCCCTTGGGCACTGCACCATCCCTGGCAGACACTGTACTTGGAGCATCCGAGTACTCATTACTTGTTTACTAAACTCTGCTCAACTGGACTCCATCAAACATTTAAAGGGATTGTGGTTCCCTGGGGAAGGACAGAGGGAGTAGGGTGTGGAGGAGGAAGAGGAGAGTTATGCCATAATACACCAAAATCTTACCTTTTGGAGGATTTGGGAGCTAGCCATATAGCTAGAGGACTTTGGAGATTAGGAGCAATGACTAGGGAATGAAAACAATCCCATGATGTCCTCACAACCTCCCTGACACTGCTCCTACCCCAAAAAGTTAGTCAAGGTGTGTCTTACTATCTGTCTTAATTCCATCAACAACCAATGGTACCAGTTTTTAAAAGCATTTAGTGGACATGCATACTGATGGACTCAAGGAGGGAGGGTAATGTGGGAAATAGATTACATAGGGAGGGAGCAAGTAGGGTGATTATTGAAGTAACTCTTTGGGGGGGGTGATTTTGATTTGGTACTAGGATGGTGTAGTGGAGGTGGTGGGATGTTGAATTTTGGACACAATTTGAATTTAGGACTAACAGGATCTGTGACAGATTGGACAGAGATTATGAGAGAAAGAAAAGAGTCAAGGATGACTCCACACATTTTGGCCTGAATAACTGAAAGGATGGAGTTGCTATTTATTGAGAAAATGCAAGAAGAGCAGTTGGTGGGGACGGAGAGGAATCAGAAGTTCAGCTTAGGACAAGTTGAGACACCTACTAAGACCCTAACAGAGACATAAATCTGGAGTTTCAGGGGAAAGGTAAGAACTTCGTGTCATCAGCATATGAATGGCTTGTAAAACCAAGAAACTGGATGAGACTACCTGGGGAGAAAGTGTGGATGAAGGAGAAAAGATGTCTAAAGCCTCAGGTCTCAGGCAAGCCAACATTTAGAGTTTGGGAGAACAGGAAGAAGTAACCAGTGAAGCAGGAAGTGGACTAAGAGACAGTTGTGTCCTGGAAGCCCAATGGAGGAAATATTTCAAGACGGAAGGAGTGTCATGAATGCAGTCAACATTATATCTAGATGAGGACTGAGATTTGACCACTTGATTTAGCACATTCAATATTGGTGACCTTGACAAGAACAGATTCAGTCCATGGGGGCGAGCAGAGCCCTACCTGGAGATGGCTCCAGAGAGAACAGGAGTGAGTATTGCAACTTGTTTAAAATGAGTTGAGGTTACTAGAGGAGAGACCAGAGAGATTCTTTTGTGACTCTCATTTTGGCCTTCTGACCTCCAGAGCTGTGAGATAGTAAATCTGTGCTGGGTTAAGTTACTCAGTTTGTGGTGATGTGTTACAGCGGCAATAGGAAACAAATAGGGTTGACTCATCATATTGGGTGACCTTGATCCCTTTTCACCAAGTACCCCCTTCTTTACCTTTTTTTTCCCCCTGAAGAAGGGACATTGGTAAACCTGTTTGCACTCTACCAGACCAGTGACTTATTTCAAGTCCATGTTGGCCAACCACTAGCATCAGGGGGATTGGAGCCAATTGGATTCCACAGAAGGGAGTGCCCATTTAATGCGATGGGCAAGGAAAACAATTTGTACCACTTACTGAGTCAACTGGAATAAAAGCTCTCACTAGAGGGATTCACCACTTGGGCTCAATATACACTTCAAGGGAATCTGTGACTGTCCTGAAATGTGTTGCATTTGAGGGTTTTTCTATCATGTCCTTAAAGAGGTCTGGGACCAGAGTGAGGGCCAAACCTACCACTACTGAGAAAGCTGCTTCAGCATGTGGCTGTGGTGAGTCCACAAAGCCCTCGTGTTGATGTTCTAATAGGAGAAAGCTACCGTTGACGGAGTCCCCGCTAGTGAGATATATTATTACACACCTCACCTCCTTTGAATTTGCCCAACATCCCTCCAGGCTGTTAATAATCCCAGATTTCAGATGAGAAAACTGAGTGGCACAGAAGCTGAAGAACTGGGCAAAGTTTTCATAGCCTGTGGACAGTGCGGCCAGAATTGAAGCTCTGGCCTGTCTTCTTCCAAATCACTCCTTCAATAACACCCTGTTGCCTCCAAGCCAACAGACAATCAGTACCACATCTCATCATTGTGGGATTAAATGAGATTCTATATATAAAACAGATTTTGTGTATGGTGATTCATGTAAAGCGTTGGGCCAGAGAACAGATAGCAATGGGTTGAGCTGAGAAAGTTTGTCCAGAAAACATTTATAAATATGCTTTAGGAACTGACAGAAGAACATAGACCAAAGCCTGACCAAGACCCAAGTTTTTGTTTTTTATTTTTCCTTTAGATACCTGAGGAAGAAATAATGCTTCTGCCTGCTATTCTTCATTGGTTAAAAGGTTAATATTTGGTCTGTATCAGTGGTTCTCAATCTCAGGGTGATTTTGCCCGAAAGGAACATTTGATGATATTTGGAGGCATGTTTGGTTGTCACAAAGCAGGGTGGGGGCCATGCATCTAGTGGGTAGAGTTCAAGACGGCTGCTAAAATTCCTACAAAGCACACCCCTCCCACAGCCGAGAATTATCCAGCACACACCTCACTCATGCTGAGGTAAGACACTCGTCTGTAGATCCAAAATGAAAGTGCTGACAATTAAAGTCCTCATATTGTTGATACATTTTAATTGGCAGAAAATGGATGTTGTGTTTACATTAAAATGAATGAGGAAATAAAGTAAACAAGCAATTTCCAATGCAACCTCTTTCTGAAGTAGTGCAGAAAGACTCGAGAGCTTGTCTGCAGAGACCCTGGAAAGATGAGGGGAATTAGAGGAAGGCTTTGATCATTTATGTAACTAGGTTAAAACGGAGCGATTCAGCTCACAAGATAAATGCAAGATATTAAGTCTGGGAGCAGAGGAATATTACAAAAGGGAGTGCTCAAGGGAAAGAGACTGGTCTTTGTTGTTTTTTGACACTTTCTCGCCTGCGGCATAGGACTGCAGTGCAGATGAAAACTCGGAGTGTGCACATCCCCCATAAAACCAGCCATTAGCTAAAGAGCTAAGGGAGGGCCTTCCGCTCAGGTGAACAGCCCGGGGTGAACCATGTCCGTAGTGGCTGCGGGTGATGGTGAAGGCATTGCCAAGAAAGCTGTGCCTTCTCTCTGGCTAACCTTAAGTAGAGCAAGAGCAGTTTGGCTCCAAGCCAGTGCCATTAAATAGGTGTGTTAGAGTCACCCCGGACACGTCTGGATTACAGAGTGGAGGGGTTCTGCATGTGTAAAGACAATATTACTGCTTGTTTTTGTTTTAAATTATGATCTGAGTAAATAATCCCCTACACCAGTTTGTTGGTAAGCCCATAGACCTTCTCCATAGACCTTCTCCATAGATGACCATCTTCAGTGACTAAGGATTTTCATGATGGTACAAGAACCTTCAACCACTCTGTCACTCCATTCTTATCACAGGCGACAGACTCGAGCTTTCATCCCTCCAGAGTGACGGAAGCTACCGTTTGCCCCGGCTCATCAGTGTACATTATCAGGAGTAGGGTGGGTTCCAGGTGAACTTCACAGAGGACCTTGATGCCGGCCGCCATTTGGGGGAGCCCCTACACGGCAACCCATCAGGTATCTTAGCTGTGGTGGCAGCGTCCTTCTCCAAACACAGAGAAAGAAATGAAACCATTGCCTGCACTCAGTGGTGGCATTTTCCTTTTAAGCGAAGAACAATAGTTACTCCTATAAAACAGCAGCCAAGGGAAGTAGTGTATAGAACAAATTATATTAAAAGAGAATCAGGAATAAATTCTAATAATATGCACCTTCCAACAATGTGGATTTTTTTTTTTTACTTCTAACAAAAAGAAGTGCTGTAGTTGTTCTAGACATTCCTGACTGTTAAAGAGTAAACCTGTATGTTTTATAGCAACACCTCGGTTATCCCAGAGGCCAAAATTCCAGTACTCTTATACATCTGGAGCGGCATGGAACCTATGTCATTACTATGTAAAGGCTGAATCTGAAGTGGCTGTATTGCCAAGGAATCGTATTTCAGAGCCTGGAGGGGAATGGAGCAGAAAGGTCCCAGGCAAAGCGCACCTCAAGCTTTCTTTAGGAATAATTCAGGTTGTGTGTGTATCTCTGGTTCAACCTAATGAAATGGTCATTTTTCAGCTTGTAAGTTAGATCCTGTGTCATTTCTGGTGGTTGCCCCTGTCATTTCAAAGTGGGACTTGACCGCAGAAGGTGGGAAAATCAAATAGCAAACCATGAAGCCCCAGAAGAATACTTTAACTTTTTGGAAATACATTTCTGAACTCAAGGAATATTTCTCATGCAGTTTTATCATGATAGTGATACTAGGCAGAAAGATTCTTGGGGACAGACACTTTGTCTGATCCATCTTTTATCCAGGAAACCTAGAACCTAGCATGGCACTCCCCTAGATGTGGTGATGAGAAAATGGTGCTGGTGGTGGTGGAGATGTAAAAAGGAGATGCACTTCAGGGATGGAATCACTTTAGCCAAAAGCCCCAAAGCCATTGGGATATTTGTAGAGTAGAACAAATCAGGAGCTCAAACGTGTTCCTTTAAAGAACAAAATCAGTCTGTTTGGTAGATGTGTTCCAACTTCTACCCAAAGAGGAGCTGTTGGTCCAAAGGCCAGGACATTTCTATGAAGCAAGGGTATTCAGGCTTGGGGCACACCTGCTCCCCTCCTCTCCCACACCCGGGGTGGGGGGTAAGTGGCAGAGGGTTGGGATGCTGGGATGGTCCTTCCTGTCTCCGAGGCCAGCGCCTGTCTGCCATCAGAGCGGCAGCAGCAGCAGCAGCAGCAGCATGTGTCCCGCTCTAACTTTCTGTTTCCTCCTCTTCTCTCCGCATTTGAGCTTTTAAACTGCCTTTAAAACAGGAGCAGCACTGGGCTTGTCTATGCCTTCGGCTGTTTCTCATTCTTTGCCAGGCCCACTCTCTCCAAATAAATGACACATTGTAGAAGGTGCTTTACGGCCTGACTTGTTAATAGATCCAGACTGTTCTGTAATAAAACATAACAATCAAGGTTAAAAGACAAAAATCACAAAAATATGAGTTAGATAAACGTAATGCCATCTATAAAAGAAGGAGGTGGACCATCTAATTTTTAAAGTACCTTCTATTTCTAAAATTCCAAACTTTAAGACAAGATTCCCTATGGTTGAAGGATACGTTGCTTTTATACTTGGGCTAAAGATCCAACCGATTTTTCCCTTGTTGGTGAAGTTATGCTGTCTTCATAGAGTCTACTATATAAACAAATAAATAAATCATATAATGCTGATTGAATCTGCTCATTTTCTCTTTCTCAGGAATTCAGGACTGAATGTCCATAGAGCACTATAAAACTCCTCACTTAACATCATCATGTTTAAAAGACAATTAATTTTCAGTAACTACAGGGTGTACTATATTGATGGATAAAATATTCTTCCTTGAATGCTCATAATTTCATGAACTTATCATAATTTTGATAAATTTACCAAAAGCAGTAAATATTTTCTTCCTTCTTTTCAGATGGGGAAATGGAGATCAAGGCCAGGGTTTAACTTGCATTTGTCAGCGAGAATCTCATCATCCTTTGTTACTTTGTGATTGATTAATATGTTGGTTTATTGCCGATCGGTTGCTAATGAGCTAACTTATAAGCACCGAGAGGATGTAACTATTAACGTAGAAGTAACAAGCAAACCGTGAAGTGCTGCTGAGCAGATCCGCGGGTGCCGTCCACAGCCCCACTCAGGACAAGGGTGGTCTTCTCAGTGAAGACCAGGGGAAGAAACTGGAGGCTCCTTCGGCAATCTCCCCACTGCTTGTAATACCAAGAAACCACCACTAGGTGGCACCATCTCACCAGTGTTCTGTTTCACCAGCTCCGTGAAGCCTGCTGTGCCTTCACCTTTGGACGGTGGAGTATGTTTATTGTCCTGTGGTTGCTTCTTTGGTTTTAGCAAAAGCTTTCTGCTCTCATCATGCTTCCGTGTCCTCTTCTATCTCCTTTATTCTGTTTTTCTTCAGTCCTTAGGAATCTGGGCCAGTGATAGGCAGAGAAATGGCGGCCATCAAGGTGGGAATAATCATAATAGACAACGTAAAAGAGAGAAATACTTGATTGTAACATTTTGTTGAAGGCTTATTATGTGTTCAGGGCTTCTAGGCATTAATTCCGAGACTCAGAGGAACTCTGCAAGACTGCTTTCATCTGATGAGCTAAGCAGCCGAGGTTCAGAGAATTGAAGCAACTTTCCCAAGGATACCCAAAAGTAGGTAATAGAAGCACAACGTGAATCTGAGTGTATGTAACGTCGAGGCATTAACGATCTTTGGATCACTCATGGAACCGGAACATTGGGTATAGTGAGAAAAAAACAGGAAGAGACTAGACGTCCTTATGTTCATAATCTGAAAGAACCAAATTATTTGTAACATATTTTTTTCAAGCAGTGACTTATTTATAAGTTCATAAAGTTTACAAAGAGTCTTAGATTACTGGGGACACTTACTAGGACAGAGTCAAGAAGACTTCCTGAAATCAACTCTTCTCTTGGAGGAGAATTTTTTTGTAAGGGACGTAGTTCTGAAGACAAGAGGAGGGAGGGCAGAACAGAAAGCAGTTATTTTTGTGCTTATCCCTCAAACTCATGAGTCCTTACTATTAATAATTTTGCTTCACAGTACTTTCCTTTGCTCTGTGTCCTTTGAAGTGATGTTTCAGCTAGAGCTCTAAAAGTAGGGGAAGGAGATCTGAGTAAAATATTTTGAGGGCTAAGAGGCCCAGCTCTCCCACATTATTTACACCCACAGAACCATATGAACAGAAAGAGCCAGGAATCTCATAATGCTAAAACAAACTAATGCTTCTTTGCTGTGGCCAGACGTCCCACTCCGTACCTTGCGTGCATCACTGTTCTGCTCCATCTTAGCACAGCTCAGTAAGATGTGCACTGAATTGGTGTTCCCTCAGCATGTCAAGCTTAGGCAGGTTCAGTACTCACCAGAGGGCACACAGTTTGTGGGGAAGCTGGGATTCCATTCAAGTTTGGCAGATCAAAGAGCTCAGCTTTTAACCTTTAAACACGACCTTCAATTAATATGCTATGTAGCAGCAAGCAAACGCTCTGACCATTATAATACTAACTCAAATTTGATTTATAAGTTTCAGAGAACTTTCAAGTATATTGTCGGACTTGATGCTAACAGTCCAATGAGAAAGGCGGCATAGATTTTCTTAGCACTGCTTCCCTTCCACCTGCCAGCAACAGACACACCTCCACTCAGAGAGTTTAGGTGACTTGGGTTAAGTTACAGAGTTACTAAGTGTTAGACACTGAACTTGAATTTACATTCTCGTCCTTAGCTCATTGTCTTTTTCCTGCAGCAGCAACAGCCTTTTATAGTAAATCATATATTGTAAGGGAAATTTCCCTCCATTGGCACTCAGAATGCACTGTCTCCAAAAATCTCTGTTAAAAGCCAAACATGCTATTAAGGAAAAACTGTATTAACATCAAATAATACATGCAGGCATGTATTTTAAATCACTTACAACTCCCTACAAAGGAAGAACCTAAAATGCTTTTTCAAAAATTTTACACAAATGATTCTACAGGTATAGGCAGTGATTAATATAATTCTAATTAGAATCAGTATCTGTGACTTTTTGTGTGTTATGAATGGAGAGAGTTGTACTTTGTTAACATAAGCAGAAGATAGTAAAGGTATAGAGACAAAATACAGATAAGCCTAAGATATCACAATTAGTTTTGATACAGTCCCAATCTTTCCAGTACCCTCAACACAGCAAAATTCTGGGAACCCAAGTCAGGGGAGAGAGGCCCAAAGGAAAGGGCCTGAGGGTAGCAGTCAATGGGTGTCGGGTCAACGTGGAGGGTATATGCCATCACTGTACTGCTCCAGACCCCACCTCCTCACCTGTAGCCGGAGGAGCCTAGAAGACCTGTGAGAGTCCTTAAATGTGAAGGAATAAAGTCACCCACCTCCTGTGTTCTTCCGCTGAAACAACGATGAGGTACCATCTCAGCCAAGGGCACTTTGCCATTGTTGGTAGAAAAGGTAATTGAATGCTACGCTAAGAGAAAATGCTAGTGATCGCTCAGTCACTCTTCTGGTTCTGGCCCACAGAAAGGCCACCTCAGTTTGCTGATGAAAGGTGGCGCTCTTCACCAAAAGATCATCGCGGCAAATCTGATGGTTGGGCACGAGGCTTCCCACTTTATTCCTTCCTTTCCATGGGCTGCAATTGTTCAGTATAAGTCAACCTGAAATACATAGACATCAAAGAAGAGATTATCAAGGTACCCTATTTCCTTAGATGATGAACTTCATTCAGAATTAGAAGAAGAAGGGGAAGGAGAAGAAAAAGAAGAGGAAGAAGGAGGGGGGAGAGGAGAGAAGGGAGAGAAAAATCTTAAAAGACTTCCAATGTTTCAAGAAGTGTTGGAATTCTCTTGCAGGCCACTCAAGTCAATTTGGAAATTTGGGGTTCCAAATTAGTGTAACAAAGAGATAGGTTTAGAGGCCTCGATTTTGCAGGAAGAAGGACCTGGGACTAAAGGAACCGTGAGGCACAGCTCTAGGCTAACATGATCAATGTTCAAATGATGCTCTAGTGAAGAAGACCCTGTCCTCGGGGACTTTTGAAGCTACAAGTATTATTCTTAGTGAAAAAGTAAAATCCGAAGTATTATGAATAAAAATTAAAAATTTAGGATTTAGTAAACTGTGGCTCACATTGAACACAGAACTCCCAGAAAACATGGCACAGGGATTCGGGCCCTGGCTTAAACTGATGATATTACAGAATGCATCTTTCTATACCCTTCAAATAATGAATGTCTTCATGGTCAAGGAGTAGAAAGTGTTGGAATTTTTCCTTGGCCTGGAGCTGAATGGGCTGATACTCTTTTAGCCTCATAAACCAGACCAACTCTCCAGTTCATGCACAAGTCTCCCCAGTTCATGTTTGAACTCTTCCCAAGATGGAGAGTCCCCTGTCTCTGCAAGCCCACCTTGGACACTGCTTCTTATTAGGTCATTCTACTCATTCTTCTTATATTAAAATGAAATTTGCTTTCCTGAAGTTCATTTTAAAATTATTTAACAATAAAATAATACTTCAACAAGCATTTTTTTGAGCACCTGACACATGTCTGGCCCTGCTGGGCTTTAGGATTTAGAAGATGAGGAAATTACATGTAGTTCAACTGGTTTTGTGGCATTCATAGTCCGATTGGATACATCTCAACTTTTTCTATCCTAACACTCCTAAGAAATTGGTCAAACTCTCAGGATAACAGCGATATTCCACTGCAGGCACAGTAGCATCTCACCAGAGGTGTAACCTGAAGCAGTCCCTGAGTGTCCCTACTCACCGCTGCACCCCCATTTAAGAATCACAGCTGTAATGGTTCTGCATTCCTGTAGAAGTCCAATCCTACGTCACCAGGATGGTCAGCTATTGAAGACCACTGCCATACATCCTTCTCTCCACCCCGATCAGTTCTTCTTTAAGCTAAACACGCCACAGAATTCAAACTATGATTGTTACCTTTTTGACGTAAAGTTTGGATCAAGAAAAACCATTGATAGTAGCTGTAAATGCATCCCCATCTGTGGTAAGTGGAACCGAACCCATCAGGCCAAACCAATAGCTGGACAGGAGCAGAGACGCTGAGCAGGGAGGAGCCTGAGCTAACACGCAGTGGCCTGTGGTTGTGGTTTTTCCACTGGAACGTAGTCTACAGTGACCAACCCAAAGTGAGAAGGGGGAGATGGATGTGCTTACTGCCTCATCTTCTTGCCTTTCTTTGTTCTAAGGCACCACGGATTCTTCCTCAATGGAGGTTAGAAAGGAGGTACAGAAGGCATATTCTGTACTAATTGGCAAAACTTGAAATTTAAAGAGAGAGGAAGAAGAAGAAAAGACAAGCTAAGAGAAAAATCGTTCCAGCTTATATAGTTGGAATGTTTATAATGTAAAGAGACAGCGGCATTAAAGGATTAGGCCCCACTGCCTGATGAACATCATGTGATCTTTTGCTATTGAAAAGACCATGTGTATTTTCAAAGACAGGGGGCTTCTTAAATAAAACCAGGAGTCTGGGTTAGCAGAAGTCTGTTAGAAAACAACTAATTTTTGTTGAGTAATCTTTTGGTCCTACCCACTTCATAATCTTCAGTTTCCTTCTCTCTGTTATTGGGGGCTGCATCTCAATTTGAAAATTGGGGCTCTGGGAGATGTGATGTGTCAAAAACAAACATAAAAATGTTTAGGATCTTAATTAATCAGATCAGATTTTCCCCATGAAAATTTCCCCCTGTTTTGTTCCAGATTTGTTTTTTTAATCCTTTACTTTCTGTCCCTGACAATCCCCATGCAATTTCAGTGGGAGAGATTAGCACAACATTATGCCATAGCATTTTCAGGATTTACTTTCGATATTGTTTATTTGCTTTCTTCTCGCAAGTTTTCAGTGAGATTGGTACCTTTCCTGAATTAGACTGATGATGATCAGGATGTCAGAGTTTTCCGCCGGCCAACTTGGTGCAGCATGTCCGAGGAAGGACTGGGAGCATCTCCACGTCCGCGCTGTCATCCCAGGGTGGCCGGCCGACGAGGCGGGGAGGGCCTCTGGTCATTTGGGGAGACCCAGCAGTCGTCATAACCAGTTCATTCTCTGTGGCCCATTCAGCTCTTGGCATCGCTGCCAAGCCAGCCGACAAAGGAGCATTGTAATCCTGACAGTTTCCCAGCATTGACTGGACGGGCACAGACCACCAACCAGCTCCTTTTGCTTCTACTGTGCACAAGTGAGACCATGAATAGAAAAAAGTCAGTGGCAAAACCCCCACATCCTGCTGAAGATGGTGTGTGGATGCTTTTCTAACAAGCGAGTCTCCTTTCAGGCTAGTAATCTTCTTACCTGTTTCCTTTTGCTTTTTGGTTTGTTTTTAAATATAGTTAGCTTGAATGGTAAGGAATAATCCTCATTGACGCCACCAAAAAATTAGGTTTGAATTTTGAAAAATAAACATATGGCAAGCAGTACCCCAGAGAATGGGAAGTGTAACAAGATGAAAGTTGGTAATAAGCTTCTAAGATAAGAAGCAGTCATTCCAGCTAGTGCTAGAGGCCACTGTGATTCTTAAGAAATTGAATTTAGGAGAATAAGACTAGGGTTTTCAAGAATAAAAATAAAATTTTAGACATGCTCTCAAAAGTCTGCCCTTTCTGTAGATCAGACCAAGGGCATCTACACCTCTGATTTTATGAATAGCAACAAAGAAAATAAAATGTCTAAGAACAAAGTAAATTCAGAGGTATTTACTGTGTGTTTGTCATTGATTGAAGTCAGGAAATATTTTTAACAATCAGATAAAGTGATCTTTTAAAACACTTCAATGGTAAATGTGGTATCATTCTACTTACTTAAATTGCTTTCCTTATAAGTACAATTGACAATAATGGGATGCCGTATCTGCTTATCAGTCATCAAATATTCAAACAAATAATAGTGATCCATGCTAGTGGGAGAGGTGGTGTGAGAATATGGTGTTTAAACTGGATCTCTGGTTTTAGAGAGCAATTTAGTAGAACTCTAATAATAGTCTGCCCCTTTGACCCAGTTACCCAACTTCCTCAAATATATCTTATGTGTTTATATATTCTATACATTCACATATAATATTATATTAAAGGTAAAACAAAACAAAAGTAAAAGTAAAAATAAACACGGTAAAAACGAAGCCCCCCGCCAACGTGAGAAGGACAGAGTTAACTGTTAACCCTAAGAAAATCTATACAATGGGATACTATGTAGCTATTAAAATGAATGAAGCCCAAGATTCTTAGTAATATGGAAGAATCCTTATTTAAATGTTAGGTGAAAGGACAAGCTGTAATTAAGTAACAAGTAATAATTTTAGAATGTAAAAGTGCAATAAAATACTAATGGTCATTGTCTTAGTTGGTGAGAATGTGATTGATTTTTCACTGTATGTTTCCACATTTTCAAAATTATTCCCCAAGAGCATGTGTCTTTTTTTTTTTTTGGTAATCATAAAGAAAAAAAATTTCTTCTGTTGTAAAAAGACTAATAAAGAATCTAAATTTCCACTTCCCTTAGGTATTTGATTTGAACGGATTCAAAGGAACAACACCTTAACCTGCTACCAGGAGGCCCTGCTGAGACAATTTTTGATGCTGATTAGATTGACTTTCAGTTCCTTTATTTTCTTCTTAATCCACTCCTAGAAATACACAACTGGTTAAGCAGCATAACCCAGTACTGCCTCTGGGCTTGTTGAGATGGATTATCGTGGGTGGAAGGCTGAGTCCGGTGCCGGTGCTGTGGTGAAGCCCGCATGCCGGAACCTGTGTGCTGGGAAACCAGTGTCTTCCCTGACTGCTAAGCCGCCAGGTGCTCCCCAAGGCAAGTCTAACCAGATGTCGCAGGTATGAAAACTGGTGACGAGCAGCACTCTTTTTCTCCTTTAGCCTAGCATTTTTTCAGTTTTGTTCCACAGATAAAGCACAAGTCTTTTTCCTACTAAGCCTCAAGAAGGCAAGTGCCTGGTCTCGTGCAATCACTTTTTCAGGTGGCACTTTTTGAACACCCGTTGTGTTCTAGGAAGCTGTTTGCCTAGTGGTTAAGAGTCAGCCCTGAGTTAGATCCAAGTTGGTAGCACGAGCCTCAGACCCAGGCAGGAGGTGGGAAGGGGCAGCGGGATCTGCACCAGGTTCCACGTTTTAGAAATCCCTATTCTGGCCTCTGGGCCCGTGTGAGTTGAGGAACAGGCAGGGTCAGGGGATGCACTCCCCTGGAGCTTGTGTTCCCTGCACCCACTCTGCCTCTGAGGCCATTATCCAGGTACCAGGGACCCTGGAATTTCCTGCTCAACAGCCCGAGCCTCTTTCCAGGTCAGTTTTCCTACAAGTGCATTGCACCATTGGGGAATCATTAGTCAGACAAAAAAGGGGCCAAGGGACAGGCATTTGGAAGGCTGTACAGACTGGCACAGAGGACTCGTTAAGACTGAGAACGTTTACCAAAAGGGAAAGGTGTTGGGGGGAGGGATACATTAGGAGTTT